GAGAGAGAGAGAGAGAGAGAGAGAGAGAGAGAGAGAGAGAGAGAGAGAGAGAGAAAGACTATTGTGAATAGGATAGAATTTAGTATAGCTGATTTCTATTAATTCTGTCTCTGATTTCACTGATACTTTGTGTGATTTTACCTAGTTTGATATTAATTCACTGAATTCCTAACTTCCTATAAAAACTTTCAGCTTTGAAATTTTCATTTGGTATTTTGTTGTTTCTTATATTCTATTGGAATGTACTATTTGTTATCTCATTTTCCCCTTTTATGTAAATTAAAAATGTAATTCAAGTGGTTATTTTAAAGTCTTTACCTCTAATTCCAGGTCAAACTGCTCTGCATTTATTGAACGTACTTTTGTTTTTGGATCCTGGACTACTTCTAATTACTTTATTGTATTTATAATAAGCTTCAAGTTTCTCACTTTGAAAATTTGTATATATTTCAGGACCCAGGATCATTCCCTACCCAGCTATTATAACTGTTAATTGTCAGAAAGAATTGTTTCTAAAAGGCAAACATGGAATTCTGCAGAAGAAACAAACATTTATTTTTCCTTGGGGAGTGAAACTCTGAGGAAATGGTCCTGAGGGAGCCTCTGTCTTCATAAACAGGCCACTGAGATCAGACACTCTTACTCTGTTATTCACAGGGCAGAAGCTGCCTCCTTACTAGAAGCTGGAGGGTCATTGGATAAACAACAGTTGTAAGTCAAGGTTTTCAGTACAGAGAGGATTACAAGATGAACCTGAGACTCTGAGCTTTGGCCTGGGACAAGAGAAGGTCTGGAGCTCCAAGCTGTTGTCCTCTACTCACTGGGTCTTTATCTCCTCCAGAACACTTCAGAGGAGAGACAGTAGGCAGAACATCCCTGCTGCAAGCAAAGGAAGGTTACATGCCTGTGTGATCCTGACCAGCTGTGAAAAACAGGTTCGGAATGCACTCTGTGTGGGACTGCTGGAGCTCCCCTTCTGCCTGATGTCTGGAGGGTTTGTGACTTTGAGTACTCTGTGTCTCATCTGTAAAGTGAAGATTTCTGTATAGTGACAGTAACTTAGAGCCTTTGACAGTAACTCCTCAATGAGTGTTAGCCTAGAACATCATTACTAAACTTATGTGCAGTTGAGTTAAGAGACTGTGGGAAACAGTACTTCAACTTGTTACTGTATAGTGCTGACCCAGAGCCAGGGTGTCTTCTACTTGTTAGCATTCACTGCAGAGAGGAGGTCTAGATTTTAGTAACTGGTGTAGAGGCTGGAGGCAGGAGTGTATGGTTAAAGGACTGATTTGTGAGTCTAAAAGATGTACCCCAAACCTTGCTTTCATTCTGGAGGTTAAGTGTAGCCCTTTAATGTGCTCTGGAAATTAGAGTCACATGTTAGTTCACAACTATTCACCTTAAATATACTTAAGCCTTCCTACCAGAGCTCACCTCTCCTTTGGATTCCATTTTCATGAAGAGGACTTAGGTTTGTGATGACGGTGATGATGTTTCTTTGTCTCCATTGGTCCTCTTCTCTGTCATGCAGGCCTCCCTCCTGAGAAGAATGACTATCAAGAATTCCTCTGTGACTGAGTTCATCCTTGCAGGCCTGACAGACCAGCCAGGACTCCGCATGCCCCTCTTCTTCCTGTTCCTAGGTTTCTACATGGTCACTGTGGTGGGGAACCTGGGTTTGATCTCCCTGATAGGGCTGAACCCTCACTTGCACACCCCCATGTACTTCTTTCTCTTCAATCTCTCCTTAATAGATTCCTGTTACTCTTCTACCATCTCCCCCAAAATGCTGATGAGTTTTGTTTCAAAGAAGAACATCATCTCCCACTCCGGTTGTATGACCCAGCTTTTTTTCTTCTGTTTCTTTGTAATCTCTGAGTCCTTCATTCTGTCAGCCATGGCATATGACCGGTATGTTGCCATCTGTAACCCTCTGATGTATATGATCACCATGTCTCCCCAGGTGTGTTTACTCCTTTTGCTTGGTGTGTATGTGATGGGCTTTGTTGGAGCCATGGCCCACACAATATCCATGGTGAGACTGAGCTTTTGTGCTGACAACCTTGTCAACCACTACATGTGTGACATCCTTCCTCTTCTGGAACACTCTTGCACTAGTACCTATGTGAATGAGTTGGTAGTCCTTATTTTTGTGAGTTTTGATATCGGTGTGCCCATTGTTACCATCTTCATTTCTTATGCCCTCATCCTCTCCAGCATTCTTCGCATGCATTCCACAGAGGGCAGGTCCAAGGCCTTCAGCACCTGCAGCTCCCACATGATTGTGGTTTGTCTTTTCTTTGGTTCTGGGGCTTTCATGTACCTTCAGCCACCTTCTGTTTTGTCCCTTGACCAAGGAAAAGTGTCTTCCCTGTTCTATACCATTGTGGTGCCCATGTTGAACCCTCTGATCTATAGCTTGAGAAATAAGGATGTCAAAGTTGCTTTGAGGAAAACCTTGGGCAAGAGAATATTTTCTTGAGGAGTAGTGTAATGAGCTTCAGTGGTATGACTGGTCAATGAGCAGTATTCCTGTGGAAAGAAGGTGCTTAGATAAGAAGATTCAATGTTACCATGAGGGGTTCAAGGTTTTACTAAATTTTCTCCTCTTCCACAAGAAGTTTGTGGCACTAGGGAATGTACTCAGGTCTTTATGCATACGGGATAATTGCCTTACCAGTGAGCTGCATCTATCCCAGAAACAGAGTTTCACATTTTAACTTTTGAACAAGAGTTTAACATAGGTCTATTCTTTCTGACCTTTGCTCTCTCCAAACTCTTTCCAGATTTCTTGATTTTATACATATTTTATAGTTCTTTAGACTACTTAGTGCTGAAAAGGTCTCAGAAGCAGTTTAATTTAGCCTCAGATATTACCCATTGGGGACTCAGAAATATATTGTTACGCAGGGGGTCAAAACTATCTGGTTCCACGAATGCATTCAAATCTAGTTGGTTGGATTCCCATTTGCTTTTTGTTTCTTTATGCTGTGTTTTCTTGCAACATTATCATTTTTTTCTGATTTCCCTTTTACAGCTTTGGCAACAAATTAGAATCTGATTCTATTAAAAAATAACATAACTCTTCAAAAACATATTCCAATTCTGCTATTGTTGTTAAAGAAGACAAGAGAAGAAAAGTTCTTTAAGTCAGTCTTGGCCAAGTGAAAAGGGAAAAATATTACTGTGTTATGTGGTTCTCATTGAGGTAGTACTGATTGCCATGTGTGGAACTCTGTACCATGAATCTCTGCATTAGGACTTCCAGGGGCTTAGTGTTTATAAAGACAATGAATGTAAAATTATGTATTATTTTAAGAAAATTTAGAATTTAGATTTTTTTTGGTGGAGGGTGAATTTAAGTAGTTGAGTCTTGATGGAGAAATCTGTGACCTGGGATAACCAAACAAGGTTCTGGGTGGTTTAAGGAGGCAGTGAATACTTCGGGGGATGCATTTATTTACCAAGGCATCATCAAACATCTGTTTATTAGAAGAAGCAATTTATTTGCATTGAATTTTAAGGATGAGGTAAACCTATTAGTAGTTGAATACTTTTACTTTTAACCTTTTTATTTAGTATTTTTGGTATCCTGATGGGAAGACTTCTTTTCCCCTGAGCACCCCAAGTGCTAGATGACTAGAAATATGAATTAAAAAAAAATCAGCAAAGAATGCACTTTTGGCTATTTTACTCTAATAAACAGAAACAATTTCTCCTGTCTTAGGCTTTCTTGAACTATTTCCTCATGTTGGGTGACAGGGATCATTTAAATATCAGAAACCAGGTAAAACAGACTCCTGGACAGGTCTGGCCTCCTTGGCCCAATCCCGTTCTTCTGATGGCTTCACTCAGCATAGAGAGATAAGAGTTTTACTGATGCGTGGCTCTGACGGGCTTGCTGCCCGCCTGCTTGCCCGACAAGATGAACTTCATTTTTTTTCTTTTTCTTTTCTTTTCTTTTCTTTCTTTCTTTCTTTCTTTCTTTCTTTCTTTTTTTTTTTTTTTTGGTTTTTTGAGACAGGGTTTCTCTGCATAGCTTTGTGCCTTTCCTGGAGCTCACTTGGTAGCCCAGGCTGGCCTTGAACTCACAGAGATCCACCTGGCTCTGCCTCCTAAGTGCTGGGATTAAAGGCATACGCCACCACCGCCCGGCTGAACTTCATTTCTTGTAACAAGCAATGTTTGAGCTGCTGTGACCAAGGAGTTCTTATAGGAGTTGACCAAAGCAGACTAACTTAGCTCAAATGTTGGAAAAACAGAAGTCGAGACAGGAAAATGGCTTTGAGGCCACCTGGAGCTAGAACAGAGGAGTCGGAGAGTCTGGACGTCTCTTACTCAACTGTTTATGCCGACTCCTTGTTTCTTTGGCAGTCCTCTGTTCCTGTTTTCTCATTGGAGCACACCACACTGATGGGGCAGCATTTGCTTATTTGCCCCAGGTTAGCCAAATGTTCAGACACAGCCTTCCTGCCTGTCTCTCCTATCCTTGTCTTTAGATGCCTGTACTTAGAAAACAAAGTGCACTCCTGAATATTGCTAATACCCTTGGAAGCTGACACCTGGATTTCTGTAAAGTGCCCTGGATTGGTATTGGAGGGTAGAAGTGAGTCTTCAGGAAGAGGATCTTACCTCTCGTTTTCATTCATCTTCAAGAGTCAGGAGGGAGAAATGATAGTTCTCTCCTTGCTGTGGTCACAGGAAGTGGTGGCGGGGCACTAATGAACCATTCCTGGGAAATGTGGTAAGCTAGCTCCACAGCCAGGAAAGGCAGAAGCCTTAATTTGCATATGGCCCACATTCTCTTGGTAGAGGCTGTGGGTTTGCTGAGTTAGAATCTAAAGTAGCAGATGTAGGTGCTTATATATATTTGTATAGTTTGGGTTTTGGACAAAAAATTTAAGGCAAGTGAAGAAATAGGGAAAGAAAACGATGGTGACACCTGCTGTGTTTGTACTCATGTCCAGACTCGTTATCTAGAAACCATAATCACGCAATAAACAACGTGTAATCAGGTAAAGGATGTGAATGTGAATGATGCTATGATATTATGAATGATAAAGGAAGTGCAGATAAAATCACTATGCTTTTAGACATCCAACAGAATAAATAAATTACTTATTGGACAAATTAAAGACACTGACAATACTGAGTACTGATCAGCACACTAGGTCATCATTTATGGCTTCTTAAAGAGTAAAATGGCAGAACTACTTTAGAAAACACTGCAAATGATTTTTTGTAAAGTTAAAATTAGATGTTCTACTTGACACAGAAAATCCACTTCTAAGTATTTACTAAAACACAGTTGGAAGCATATATCCATAAAAACTTGTGTATGGACATTTATAGCAGCTTTGTTTATCTTAGCCTTCAATTGGAAGCAATCCAAATTTTCCCCAAGTGGTGAATGAACATACAAATTTTAATATATTCATGTGAGTGAATACTATTTAGCAATGACAAGGGACAGATACACACAGCAAAGAATCTCAGCACGAACAAACCTCAAACTTCATGCTCAGAGAAAGGAACTTCATATTAAAGTAGCTAACGTATTTTATAATTTTAAAAATAGGAAAAACTAGTCTAGTCAGTCAGTAGTTGCTTAGGACTGAAATGTAGGGTGTGGTTTAGCAACTCCGTCTCCCATAAAACCTTCCACTTTGGAGAGAAGCTCCTCAAGACACAAGATGTTCTAAGGGAAGATGAAACACTCCATCTGCAAGGAAGTTCTTTAAGTTCAGGAAGTGAAAAACTCAATTGCTTCGGTAAGTTTCTGAAATTGACCTAATTTTCTAGACCTCTCTCTCCTCACATGTTTATAAGCAGTGAGCATCCTGGAGAGACATTCTCAGACAAGCTGAGCTGCCTAGAATAGGCCCAACACAGATGAGCTGCCTGGAAGAGACAGAGTGAGACCAGGAAGAAGCAGTGGCCAGCTGAGCTGCTTGGAAGAGGCACACCAAATGTGCTGCCCGAAAGAGACTCTCCAGTCTGTCAAGATACCTGAGAACTGTGCAGTGAGCCCAAAGTTCCCAGCTTTCATGAGGCACCACCCATGCTGGGGTTGGGTTTTGGTGAAGGAGCTGTATATGAGCCATTCCTGCTCCTGTAATTCCTCACCCATATTCCTGTAAGTGACCCTAATAAACTCATTGATTTGCTAGTATTCACTTTTGTACTGCCATTGGTTCCCTAACCTGGAATGAGTAGACATTTGCTCATGTCTCCCCTGAAACAGTGCCATATGGCAGGACAAAGGGTAACTCATTATAGTACAGAACATTTAAAAGTATTTTTTATGATTTCTTTGTATTTTTTTACATGCACTGATGTTTTGCTTATATGCATGCCTGTGTGAAGGTGTCAGGTCCCCTGGAACTGGAGCTACAGACAGCTGTGGGCTGCTATGTGGGTGATGGGAATTGAGCCCAGGTCCTCCAGAAGAGCAGCCAGTGCTTTTAACCTCTGAGCCATCTCTCCAGGCCCCAGTATAGAACTTTTTAGGAAAAGGAAATAACACATATTAATTGCATGGATAAATACTTTGTTAAAATTGCTGAACTGGTCATATAAATTCTGTTCATTTTCTTAAATTTCAATTATATCCCAATAAGGCATATTTAAGCATCCATATACAACTATGAATAACCAAGGACAAGAAATATAAAAATTAAATTCCTGAAACTCAACATAACCAGTCTGAAGAATAAAACTTGAGTTGTATTTCTGGCCTTGGGAGGAGATATAACATCTTGAACAGATAACTCCCTAAAGCCAGTTCTAGGATGCTTTCTGATAATGTATAAAGACGTACCATTTCCCTCTCATTTAAGAGTCAACCCAAATGGACCTGTCAGTCACCTGGATTAAACCAAGTCCCCCAGGCAAAGCTGCTTGTTCTAGAAGAAAATTACAATGGGTTGAAGTGCTGAGAGTAAATAGTTGTTGAATGTCCTACCCTATGCAGGACATTATAGTTCTTCCTCCTAAGCTCAGGGAACACTGAAGGGGGAGGAGAGGAAGAAGGTAAGAGCTGGAAGATGAGGAGGAGTGCTGTCAAACCCTGTCTCCTGGATATGACATGGCTGCCACAGTCATGAAACCACAGCAGCTGTGGTTATTTGCATAAGATGTGCACAAGGCCTGGCCTGTCAGCATCCCATCATGGTTGGGGGAGGGGTTTGGAAGCCCCTACCTAGTCCTGAGGAATTGCGATGGTTACTGTTAATTATTATCTTGAAGTATCGAGATCCACCTAGGAGACCCCCCTCCTGGGTGCTTTTGTGAGGCGTCATCTAGACTAAGGTTCCCCTGAGAACGTCTGAGAGGCCGTTGTGAAGTGAGAGGATCCGTTTCCTCGGTGAGGATCCAGACTGTCAGAAATGCCGACAGTTAGCGAGTGCCCTGCTGTTTCAAGCTTCCTGACCGTGGGTGCAGTGCCCTAAGCTGCTTCACTCTGTCCTCCTTGGACTCCCTCCCCCACCATGATGGGCTAGTCCTCTAAGTGTGAACTAAAACCAAACCTCCCTTCTTTACAATTTTTTTTTTCAGAAGAATTTATCACAGGAACAGGAAAGAAACTAA